CCTGCTGAGGGCACAACTGGTATGGCTACAGCCATACGGGCACCAGTGTGGGTCTTGGGCCCAAGGACTTTATAAATGGACTTTTGTGAATGAAAACAGATTTTTCTGGAGCCATTCCAAGAGATCCAATTCAAGTACCTGTAGGGCCAGGAAGGAGGCCTCCATAGAGATGTCTTCATTATTCTTGGCCAATATGGGTCAAGACAAGGGGCTGAGGCCACAGAAGCCAGCTCTGTCTTGTCCCCACCCCAGACTCTAGATCAGGTTCACTTGCTGGGCACTGTGCCTTCTGGGAAGGCTGGTGCATCTTTAATGAAGTCACCTGATCCCTGGGACAGGCTCTCAGCCTCACCAAGTTCCTAGAGCCAGACCCACTGGGTGCCCACTGAGTCACTGCCTTCCTGAGCTTGGATGCCGGGTCTGTTTCCCCTCCAGCCATGAACCAGGCCTTCTGGAAAACCTACAAGTCCAAAGTGTTACAGACCCTAAGTGGGGAATCTGAGGAGGACCTGGCAGAGGAGGTGGGTAGCATCCATGCTTGCTGGGTGGGTCATGGCAGAGGGGCAGCAGGAGTGAAAGGTACAAGGAAGGGCAAGGGACAGCTCTGGGGAGAGGGCATATTTGTGCAGAAGCCATTGGCACATTCAGGGATGACAAACGGCATGGTGCAGAAAGCCAGGGTATTTAAGAAAACTGAAGAAGAAGATTTGGGGGCCACCAGAAGAATGGTCATTGTCTCCAAAGATCTCAAGGGTTACCACATGGAAGAGATCCTTCCAGGACCAGTGGGCAGTAGCCACCCGGGGTACATGGGGCTTGACAACTGGCGTCCATGTAGAATGCCCCATGAAGTTGTATGGGTGGGTGTGAACTGGAGATAGACAGGGCAGGTGTGTGTATTTGGGGCATAAGTCTCTTCCTGAGGGCCTCTGTGAGGGCATTGGCAGGTGTTTTGTTTGTACAGTGTGTGTATGTATAGCTCTGCCTTCGTGTCTGTGGATGGGTGGAGAGGTGTAGTGTGCTGTAGGTGGGCCTCTGTCTGCATTGGTGTAAGTTCACAGGTGTGAATGGTATAACTGTGTACGTGTCCTTGTAGAGGTGCCTCCCAGCACGGACATCTTTGCACAGGTGAAGAGGTATAGTCGTGTGGAGGCATGCTCATGTACAGGTGTGTGTCTCCATTGGCACGCATGCCCTTGTCCGCACATTTTTGGGTGCGTGTGGATATGTCTGTGGGTGAGCAGGTGTGTGCTCAAGGGTTTCTGCAGGGGTCTACTATACAGGTAAGATATGGGACTGGTGGCTTTGTGTAGAGGTATACCTGTCTGTATTTATGGAGGGTGTGAGCAGACGAGATGGGTGTTGAGGTGTGAGGTCTTGGGGTGCCGGGGTGTGCATACCAGGCTAGCAGTGGGCGAGGGAGGTCCCATTCCTCTGGGGCCTCTCTCATGCTGGGAGGGGGTCTTGTGTCCCAGAGAGGGAACCCAGCGTTAGCGGAATCTGAGCCGGCAGAACCCGCAGAAGAGGCTTTCCATCCCATGTCACAGTTGGCCCGCCGGGTGAGTTCTCCCTTCTTCACCCCAGCCTCGGGGAGCCTGGCAGAGGCCGCTGTGACCCCTTGCTGACTCCCAGCCCCTTCCTCCCAGGTTCAGGGGGTCGGGGTGAAAGGTTGGCTGACAATGTCGTCTTTGTTTAACAAAGAAGATGAGGACAAGCTCCTGCCCCTGGAGCCCTGTGCCGACCAGTACGTGTGTGTTGGTGGGGGCTGGGATGGGCCTGGGGTCCCCCTTCTCCTGTGGGCTTTCCTTCTGGTCTATTTGTCTATCTTTCTGACCAAGGAGGGAGGGGGAGGACCAGCCCCAGGCTGTTTCCGTTTCTCTCATCAGGAAAGAGGCCAAAGCAACCTATCTGAGTTCAAGTTAGATCTCAGGAGGACTTTAGGGCTGTTGGGATTGAGGTGCTAGAAGGTACTTTAGACTCTCTCTCTCTCTCCTCCCCATCCGCATGGGAGGGGTCCTCTCCTTACAATCAGGAAACAGAATAGAGAATGTTTAGGTGTTGAGAACAGAGGGTGGTCCAGATCCCAATGCTGGTCTAAACCCTCATCCTCCTAGGGAGTTTGTGCCAGACCCTCCTTCAAAGATTCTGATTCCGCAGGTGTGGGCTGAGGCCTGGGATCTGTATTTGCAGCCTGCTCCTGAGGACCTGAGGCACACTAGTTTGGTTAGGAACCACTGACTTAAGAAAGACTTTGATGCTGGGGTTTAGGAGATGGGACCCAGGGCAGCTCCTTTCTCCTAGCTCTATTCTAGTGCACACTCCCTCTCTGCCCTTTCCTCCAGCCCAGTCGTACCCCCTTTCTTTGACACTCCCCTATTCCTTTCTCCCCTGGGGTCCCCCTGACCCACCCATCTCTCCAGCCCCAGGGCTTCCTGTCACCCTCCTGGTGCTCATCCCCTGTCCCTCCCAGAGCTCCGAGGACTCCTTCTCAGATCTGAGGCTCCTACCTCAAGACTCATCCCCCCTCCTTGACTGCCCTTCTCCCCACATTCCCTGCCACTTTCCCAGTCCTTCTCCCCACTAAGCCCTCGTCTAGGCCTTTCTCATTTCCTTGGGTCTACCCGTCCTTCTCTCCAGTGTTTCCTCATTTTCCCAGTCCCCCTTTCTCTCCATCTCAGAACCTCACCCCTGCCCCCACCCTGCCTCTTTCCCTGGGGCGGCCACCCTGGCTTCCCGGACCCCTCCTCCCAGCGTCTGACCCCGCCCCAAGCGTCGCTGGGCCCCGCCCCCATCCGGGCTCCTCCCACAGCTTTCCGGGCTCCTCCCACAGCTTTCCGGACTCCTCCTGTCAGGCTTCCCGCCTCTGGTGGTACTCCTCTCCCCGAGTCTTTCCCAAACCCCTGACCCCGACTCTCTCCCCAGGAGTCCTGGCCTCAGCCCCTTCTTCCCAGACCCCTCACCTAATCCCATGACCCTGTCCCACCCCAGCCCCCTTTCCCTGTGCCTCTGAGCCCTCCCGGGCCTCCAGTCTCCCGCCCCCCCCAAGTCACCTGACCTCCCTCTGGCTCCTCCCGCCCCACTACTAGCGCCTGCACCCCGTCTCCCCTCTTCGTCCTCTCCTCGGGCCTCGGCCGGTGACACCCGTCCTTCTCCCGCAGCCCGCTGGCGGCGCGGTCCACCTCGCAGGCGGTGACGGCGACGGAGACAGAGCCGCGCGGGCCCGGATTCTGGGACGCGTTCGCCAGCAGGTGGCAGCAGCAGCGGGCGACAGCGGCGTCCATACTGCGCGGCGCCGAACCCAACGCGGAGCCAGACCCCGAAGCCGGGGATGAGGTCGCGGAGGAGGCTGCCGAGCGCCCCGAGCCAGGGGAGGCCGACCCCGTGGTCGGCTTCCAGTGGGGCTTCCTCACCCACAAACTGGCCGAGATGAGGGTGAAGGCTGCGGCCAAGGGCGACTAGCAGGCCGGCCCAGCTGGGCACCCGCTCCTTCCTTCCCCAACCCCATAAAGACCCTGACCCGACACCCCGTGTGACCGCGTGCCTTTGTCCGGACGGCACGGATGACTGCTTTTGGGCGGGCAACCTCAAGGCAGGGTCCAGCTCAAAGCGTCCTCCCCCCCTCCCCCCCAAGCGTAGGGGGAGGAAATGACCAGACAGCCCTGTTGTCAGGGTAGATTGTGTCCGATTTAGGGTACAGCTTTACAGAAACCTGAGAAACCCCAGAGGACAGGCCCCATCGCCCTGTTCAGCCTCTTAACTCGACAACCGTTGCCTGTGACCCTGCTATATGCACCGTCCCTGTACTAGGGGAAGGTCAGGAGGCTAGAGACCTGGAGAGGGAACTCAGACGACCAGCGGGTCCCACAGAAGGTGACAAGTTGAGGCACAAAAATAAGGCTGTACTTGGGAGCTCGGAGATGATGCCGACTGGGGGATTCCGGAATTTCTGAGGGGGAATGAATACATGTAATCTTAGAAGGATGAGTGGAAAGAAAGGGGAAGGTAGCCCAGGCAAAGGGAAGAGGACCCTAAGCAAAGCCTTGAGGTGCGGATGTGTGAGGCAAACAAGTGACCTTGTGTGTCTTTGAGGGAAAGGAAGACAGTGGCCCGATGTGAGGCTGCGGGTTAACAAAATCCTGGTTTGAAGGGTCCCTTCCTTTACTGTCCTCAATTCTGGATTCTTCCTATCTCAGCCCATTCATAGCTAGTAACCAAAAGGGGGCAGCAAATCTCCAGGAATGGGGGCTTTTCGGCCGGGGGACCCCAGATTTCTGGAGCAGACCCCTCCCCCAGAACTCCCCAAACACCCTATTCCTGACTCCCAGATCTAGTTTGGACCGACCTCGGGGTCGGTGGAGGAGATGATCATAATAGAGTTAGTACTAATTCCTTAGTGGTCTTAGTGGCTGTCGTCTATTGAACACTTTCTATATGCCGGGCACTTTGCCGTGCGTTTTGCGACCATTTCAAAAATACTTTGATCACCGAGGGGTGCAGCTGTGGTTCGGGGAGGTTAAGTGCTTGCCCAGGGTCACACAGTGAGCCTGGAGCCCGCATTCCAAAACCCACGCGCGTAACCCCGCAAGCCCGCCCCCCCCCCCCCACACCCCCCACGCCCCCCCCCCCCCCCCCCCCATATCTGCTCTCTAATCCAACATCACGACTCCTTTAAATAACGTTTTGGTTTTATTCAGCAGGTTCTCTGACCTCCCACCCCAGGCTTCTCTCCCCAGACCCGGCCTCCACAGGGGCCACGTTAGCTGCCCCCTCCCCCTCCGTCGTCGGCTCTGGGAAGGGCCTTCGGAATTCTTTTGTCCCATCCTCCCAAGGTTCACAGGGGGAAACCAAGAATCCAGAGGGAAGGGCTCGCCTAAAGGCACCCGGCGCGTCAGAGGCAGGGCGTCCCTGCCGGTGCCCGGGCCCAGCCCTGCGCCCACCCCTTAGCCCTCCCCGGGCCCCGGAGCCGGGCCTCCCCGGAGCCCGCTCCCGAGCGGCCGCAATCACACCTCGGACTCGCGCGGCGGGCCGCGGGCGCGCTGGCAGCCGTACAACCACTGGATGACGCGCGCGTTGCGCTCCACCACCGACACCGGGGGGCGCCCGTCCCGCGCCGAGCCCGCCGCCTCTGAGCCGCCGCCGCCGCCGCCGCCGCCAGCACCGTCCGGGCGATCCGTGTCCCCGTTGCTGGACGTCCAGTCGCTGGTGTCCCCAGAGTCGAGCGGCGGCGACGTTCCGGGCTGGGAGCTGGCGTCGGCGCCCCAGCTCTGCGGAGAGAAGCGCTCAGCGCCCAGCACCTCCACCAGCGCGCGCTCCAGGCCGCAGTAGTTGAAGAAGCGCTCCTTCTCCGACAGGGGTAGTGAGCAGGTGGGGCACAGCGCCCGCTTTCCTGCTGCTTCCGGGGCATCTTGGGGCGCGGCCCAAACTCCAGGAGCCGCTGGTCGCTCGGTTGGGCCCGGACTGCTCGAGGTGGCGTCTCGGGGGGGCCCCAGGAAGAGGCGCCGCACCAGCCCCTGGCCCTTGGCGTTCTCTTTGTTCACAGAAGCCTTGCAGTCCCGCTTCTGGCGGTAGAAGATGAGGGAGTCAGGCCTTGGCAGCCGCCGGCCGCTGCTCCGGCGGGCAGGCCTGGGCGTCCTGGGCGATGCAGGGGCCCCCAGCTCATTGCAGGGGTGCGGGGTGAGCGGTCCGGGACCCCCACGCAGAGCTGGCTCCTGGCGTCGTGCTATCACTTGGTGTGTCTTGACATACTTGGCTTTGTCGGCCTCCAGCCTCTCCGCTGCGCTGGGGGTCCGTCCCCTGGACGGGGTGGAGGGAGAGGCCAGGATCATCTCAGCGGAGCTGGGTAGGATTGTACCCCATAAGCCACTGGAAGTAACGCAGCTAGTTGAGGAGCCAAGAGTAATTGGCCCGGGACTCCCTGGTGCCTACAGGGAGAGAGGAATGGTCAAGGAGAGAGGAGATGTCCCTGCACCTCTCCTTCAGGCATTCCCTAGAATAGGATCAGCCAGCCACCCCTCCCCCATCCAAATCAGCCTTACCATGCCTAAGGGGCAGAGAGGCTCAGACCACCCCTTCCCCCCCCATCCCTCAAAGACATTGAGCAGGGGCGCCCTGGTCACCCAGAAACATGCCCCTTGGAGGTTACCCCAGTCTGGCCACAGAGCCATGCCAAGCAAGCATCAGCAAGTGGGACACTTGGAAAAGGAAATGGGGCTGGTCCCGGCTCAGTTCCCGAAAGTGGCCTCAACCGGAAAAAATACTTCTTCCCAACCCAGCAACTTTGAGTCCAAGACAAGAAGGCTCCCCAGTCACAGGCTGGCTCCAGGAGGGCCCACCCTTCCCGCCCCCAAGCACCCGAGGTCAGGAGTATAACCACAGGGTAGGAGCCTCCAATAATTGCAGCCAACTGCCCTGCCCAGTCCCAGCAGGGCCATGGGGAAAGAGAGAGGTGGTGACCAGGTCATGTCAGCCAGCAACCTACCACCTCGGTACTCCTGCCAAGGGAATTCCACAATGCCCGCCTGTAAACACCACCTCGCCTACCTCTGCATTTCCATTTACAGAAAAGGAAACTGGTAGAGAGGAAGGGGCTTGCTCAGATCTTACTGAGAGTTAGGGGCTGGGATTGAAACCCCAGGCTCTAGCCTTGCAGTGCAGAACTAGTTCAGATGGCCTGTCTCAGGGCCGAGCAGAACTTCCCTCTCATGTTTTGCTTCTCTTCTTGCTGCTGTAATACTAAGCAATTTCCATTAGACATGGGCCTTTTGCCTCGCTAAAAAGTTCCTTCCACAGATTCTTCCCAATAACCGGCCCTCACAGAAATCTGCCCTCAGGGCCCCTGCCCTCTTCTCATCCTGAGACCCTGTGACCCTGGTCCGCCACCTCCCCTCTGCCACTGGGGAAGGGGACCAGGAGGGGTTGTATATCAAGAGCCGACAGTGCTGTTGGCAGTAACAGAATGGGCCACCCACACGGCTCCGCACACCCCATACCACCCCCGCTCCCTCCTCCCTGAATCCTCCATTCAGCTGAAAGGGACACGTAAGTTCTGGGGGCTGACAGGACCTCCAGTCAGGAGGCAACAAAATAGCAGAATTTGCCAGGGATGGGGGGAGGCACCCCCAAGAGGCCTTGGAACAGAGACCCTGCCAAACCCCCCACCCCAGCACACACACGCACACACACACCCTTATCCGGTGTCTAGTGAGCCAGTCCATAGGTAGTTGGTGACTGCGAGCCCAGGCAGCAAGGAAAGCCCGGCAGTGCCCTCCCTCCTGCCTCTCAAGAACTCTACCAGGCAATGGGTCAGATTCCAAGGTCCCAGGAGGGCACTGTGCTTGTCTGACCTTACGAGTATCCTCCCATCCCTTTCTCCTCCTCCCAGCCCTGAGCAGCAAGGCTATAAAAAGTCCCTAAACACAGGGACCAAAATAGTCTGCCATCCACTGTCTCTTCCCTGCCTCCTGGGTTGGCTCTGATGCTCGACCACAGATGTTCCACCCTAGAAGGCCGGCAGACATCCCTGTGCCCTCCGTCCCTTTGCCCACCTTCTCCCAGTCCTGTGGTTAGTGGTCTGAGCTTTGCCCAGGGCTTCAGCTCCGGACACGGACTGGGGGGGAGGGGGGGACTTGTTCACTGGCTTGGTGCCAGCCTCCCTGCCCTTGGGTCCCTGAGTGCCTTCCCCCCCGCCCCCCCGGGTCCTGGGCTGGGGATGCACTCACCGAGGCTGGATGCAGGGGTCCCTGGGCAGGACCAGACAAGGACAGGAGGGACAGCAAGGACTGGAAGGAACTTTGGTGGCAGCCAAACCTCACTCTCCACAGGAAAAGGAGAGAGAGCCTCCACCCCCCCCCCATTAACCCTCGCCTTCCTGACCCGGAGCCTGGCCTCCAGTTAACTCCTTCCTGGTCACAGTCGCAGCACTGGAGAGGACCTCTGGCCCAGGTCCGCATCCTTTATTTTACAGATGGTCACACAGGCCCTGACAGGTTAAGTGATTTGCATGGAGGCACAGTGAGCTTGGGGTACAGCCAAGACCCAAGCAAGGTCTCCTGATTCCCTAGCTTCCTCCAGAGGCCTGGGGTAGGGATATGCTCTTCATGTGGGGTCAGCCCCCTCTTCCAGGCCTTGGCAGAATCTCTTGGTTCAAAGAGGAAGGCAGAGCAGGGTTCTAGCTGACTGTGCTTGTTTTCCTCTGTAGCAGGTTTAGGCCTGTCCTGGCTGGGGTGTGTGGGGGGTGGCAGGCCTGCTCTCCCTAGGGGTGAGGCCAGGAATCTGCAGCCCAAGGGTGGGAGCATTGGTGCCGCGGATGTGCAGGGTGAGCCTGCCCTAGCAAGTCTTGGCATGACAGTCACTTCGGAGCCCTCTGGAGGTGCCTCTGCCCAAGGTCCTCTGATGGCCAATGGGATTGGCTGGGAAGAGGGTGATGAAGGGATGGTTCTGGGGCCAAGCCAGTGTCTTTGGCCTCCTTTCTGCTTTGCCCCACTGGGGACTTCTCGAGCTGACATCTCATGTCTCGAGGGGGAGCTCTGTCCCCACAGTGCTGGTGTCCGGTAATCTCCTCCCCTCTCCCCAGTAAACTGCAGCACCCAGAGCTCAAAAATCAACACCCTTGCCAAGGGGCCCCTGCCCCCCTCCTAGCTGGGCCACTCTCCACAAACCCCTTCCCTTCCCTTGTAGAACTATTAATGTTTGCAAAGCACATTCACACCTGTGCTCTTGGATCTCCTTTGTCTCTCCCAAGAACTGTAGAGGGGGGCACCTGGGTGGCTCAGTTGGTTAAGCGACTGCCTTTGGCTCAGGTCATGATCCTGCGGGCTCCCTGCTGGCGGGGAGTCTGCTTCTCCCTCTGACCCTCCCCCCTCTCATCCTCTCTCTCTCTCTCATTCTCTCTCTCAAATAAATAAATAAAATCTTAAAAAAAAAAAAAAACTCTAGAGGGGGGCCCAGTAGGGGTGACTACCCCACTTAATGGATGAGGAAATGGGATCTTGCCAAAACCCAACTCCAAAACCACTCTTTCCGCTGCACCCTCTGCCTGTCAAGTAAGATAATGAGTCTGAAAAACAGGGAGGCCCATTTGCTGGTAAGAGATTTTTACCACCTAGTTAAGGGAAGGTTTTTTTTGGTTTTTTTGTTTGTTTATTAGTCCATGATAGTTCCATATTGTATTGTTATGTTATGTATCTTTGCAAAATACTTTCATCTACATGATCACAATTCATCCCTGGGACAATCTTTGGGAGTAGTGGGTTTTACTTCCCATTTCACAGCCGAGAATACTGAGGCTTAGAGATGTGACATGATCCACCCAAGCTCACACAATGAGACTAACACCTAACTTTTATTGGGGGATTAATATGTGCTAGGCACTGTTCTGTGATTAACACATTTAATCCTCAAAACAACCCGGTGAAAGGGGTACTTTTATTCTCCTAATTTTACAGAGGCAGGTTGGGGTGCAGGCCCCGAGCACTGAGATCTGGCCATGAAGGGGTTAAGTGTGAGGCCGGGCAGGGCCCAGCTGGGATGCTGTCAATGGCAGGAAACCTGGCCTGTGAAGGAGGGGGAGGATGGGGCTGTTGTGTCTGACTTGATGCAACCCCCATCCCTTTGGTCTTAAAGGAGCATCTGGGTTGGGTGGAAGGGCAAGCAGAGTGGGGGTGGGACATGGGGGGGTGGGCTTCTCAGCTCTTTTCTAGGGACCAAGACGGATGCTAGGCTACAGAAAGGGGGGATTCAGAGTGGACTGCAAGTGCTGCCCTGGGGCAGCCCCGGGTCTGAGGAGGTTGACTACAAATGACCCCGCCTCCTTGCAGGAGCAATCCCTGAGTCAGAGGGGGGAGACAGCGCCAGACCTCGGAGCACCCAGTCAGAGAGGGGAGGCGCAGCTCTGCCCTCAGGAGTCCAAGGTGGGGGGTGGTCAAGGAGCCTTGCTTTCAGGAGCTCACAGTCTGAGGGGTGACAGTTCCCTGTCCCAGGATGCCAATGGACACAGACCCTCTATCTTACTGGCAGAGAGGCTCCTGGAGGAGAGGTCAAACTGGACTGGCTTCCGGCTGGCTTCAGGGGTGAAAGAATCCTTGGGAGGGGGGAGATGATGAGGCAGAGCTACAGCTGCTGGCCCTGCTGGTCTCCCGGTTACACTTGCCAAGAACCGGATCATCTGCCTTTCTGGTCACGGATCCCTAAGGAGATTCGTGCTAGAGCCAGGACCTTGGGCCAGTGGGAGGCCAAGTCTGAGAGAGGTTTCCTTCCTATTTCCAGGCTCATTCCCGGATCACCTTGATGATCGATTGGAATGGGTCTGAGTCAGAACTGGCTCCTTCCGGAGGAGAGAGTGGGGAGAAGGTGGGGGGAGGGGATGGGGGAGCAGCTCTGGTCAGTGTTGGGAATAATGAGATGGCTCAGTGAGGCCTCTTCAGATCCAGCCTCACACCCCAGATCCACAATGTTACCTCCCCTAGCAGCCCGCTACAGCCCCCTCACCACAGCCACCCACACCTCGGCCCTGCCTTAGATGCTAACCATCCCTGGTGTAACCACTCACTGGCGGTGTGGCCTGGAGCATGAGCTTAACCTCTCTGAGTTTCCTTTGGTGTAAAATGGGAATGAGCGGCATGAGGAAGTAGCGGCTGTGGTGCCTGAGGAAGCCTCTGGTGCCTTAAGGTGCTCATAAATATTAGATGAATCTGCCTTTTAGCTCTCGCCCAGCACTGGCACCTTCCTGACACCTCCGGCCTCAATCTTTTCTCTAACCCCATAGTCTCAGCTGCTGTCAACAAATCATTCTGAACACTGCGGTGTGCTGTGAGGTCAGCAGCTGGGTCAGACACGGTTTCTGCTCTCGGGGAGCTCAGCCTGCTTAGCGGTTGGCGGGGGGCAGCGGTGGCGGGCAGAGGCTGACAGACTGATCACAACTCCAGCCAGGGCAGTGCTTCTGTGATGGAGGCCAACGAGGCAGGGGGCTGGGGAGGACGTTTGTTCTGCCAGAGAAGCGGGGGTGGGGGCTGGGGGGGTTGGGCAGGGGGTAGGGATTTCTGGCCTGGCTGGGATGGGAGGTGGGGGGTGGGGTACTGGGGGAGGGATGGTGAGAGCTACAGGCCTAAAGAGGCAGGAGTGTCAGGGTGTCAGCGAGGGCAGGAGGTGGGGGGGTGTGGGGAAGGGGGAAAAGAGTGAGGCAGAGGGAGAGAGAGGCTCAGGGGGGCTGAGAGGGAAGATGGGGTGCAGAGAAGGGATGGTTTCTGTGAGGAGATGCGTGAGGTGGTGGGGGTCCTGAGAAAAGGCAGCTCAGAGGAGAGACGGGGCTCCGGGTGGCGTCTGGCTCAGTGAGCAGGAGGGTCTCAGGCTGACGTCGGTGGGGCCCCCGGCACCACGGGAGGGGCCCCCTCCGCTGGCCCTGTGCACCCCACAGAGATTAGAGCAGCTATTCTGTAATTCGGGGCCTTCCGTTTAGGAAAGAATCTCAGCCACAACAATAGCCTGGCTCTCGCTCTCCGGGTGAGGGGTGCGGCCTCTGGGCAGAGCCAGCGCCCCCGCACCCAGGCGGGAAGGGGGGAAGATCATGGGGGCGTGGAGAGGAAGGTGTTGTTAAACTTGTTTGTGGAGCACCTCCGTGTTGCCAGCGAACGAAGTGAATAAGAGATCAGATTTCTGCTCTCGCAGCGCCTACAGCCTGGTAGAAGGAGGAAGACAAGTCCATGTAATGTGCGCCATGTGCTGGGCGCTCTGCTCAGTAGGCACCTTCTTCTCACGCAGCCCCCACGTGAACGCGGTGAAGGAGCGGCCCAGGCGGGCAAAGTAACTCAGCTGGGGTCACACAGCTGGCAGCCGGAGAGCGGGGCCTGCAGAAGAGCTCCCAGCTCTCCGCACCGCCCCCCCCCCCAGCTGTACCTGCGACTTCGGGTCCTACGCTCCACTGCTCCCCCTACCCACTGCCTGCCCCCTTGAGGTGGAGCCTGGAGTCTTCTGCAGGCAAGCAAGCGAGGCGGGAAGGAGGGCAGCCCCAGCTGCTGTGCTTACCACCTCCATCTCCTTGCCCACATCTTCATCACCACCTCCTTCATCCCCACCTCCCACTGCTGTCCTCAGCAAGGTGCCTCCGCATCCAGTGCCAGGAACAAAACCCATCCGGTCTCGACCCAGTGCAGTAGGGAACACGTGGGCAAGAAATGGGGATTCTCGTGGAATGCAGCGGCAAGAAATCTATCCTCAGGCAAATACTGACAACTACACGTTCATAATGCCATGTTGAAAAATATGTTTTTGATTTTTTTTTTTACACAGAGAAAGTCATGAAAATATCAAACATGACTGCACTTAATTATTATTGAACATATATGGGTATTTTGGCCAAAGGCCAGCAATACTGGATGAGTAAGAAAATAAAGATGTGGATAATTCACAAATTGTTCCATCTTTATTCCATAAAATCTATTTTTCTTGCCTTGATTTGAACAAAATTACTAAGTATGTTGCTATAATGAAAAGTTTCAGGGGTGCTGACGGGCTCCATCATCAGAGCATGTGACTCTTGATCTCGGGGTTGTGAGTTCAAGCCCCAAGTGTAGAGCTTACTTAAAAGGACAAAAAACAAATTTAAGAGGAACGCCTGGGTGGCTCAGTTGGTTAGGCGACTGCCTTCGGCTCAGGTCATGATCCTGGAGTCCCGGGATCAAGTCCTGCGTCAGGCTCCCTGCTCGGCGGGGAGTCTGCTTCTCCCTCTGACCCTCCCCCCTCTCGTGTGCTCTCTCTCTCTCTCT